CTGCAGCAGCAGCAGCAATCCAGGTGGACCTGGAGCAGGAGCTCAAATCAACAGGCTTGGGGCTACTTGGACAGCACCCTGCCAACCGAGGTAGACAATCCCCTTGACTGTATTTCTGGGCAACGAAACTTGACCTTTGGCCCCAACTAGCTGAATTTGCCCTTGAAAGGCTGTCATGCCCCCGGCCAGTAGCGTGGGCATCGGAGCGCGTGTTTAGTATTGCTGCTGTCTCCATCGCCACACTCTGCTGCCATGTGCCACTTTCAGGTCTCTTCACACTGCTGGTGTGTTAAATTTTTTGACATAGGGTGCAGGCAGATTACGGGCCTCACATAGCTGCTGCCAGGCCCCTAATCTGCCATGGGCCCCTATATACCGCCTCCTCATGCTGCTGCCAGGTCCAGAGTCTCTCATGGGTCCCTGTACGGCCTCCCATTGCTGCTGTCTCCATCGCCACACTCTGCTGCCATGTGCCACTTTCAGGTCTCTTCACACTGCTGGTGTGTTAAATTTTTGACATAGGGTGCTGGCAGATTACGGGCCTCACATAGCTGCTGCCAGGCCCCTAATCTGCCATGGGCCCCTATATACCCTCCTCATGCTGCTGCCAAGTCCAGAGTCTCTCATGGGTCCCTGTACGGCCTCCCATTGCTGCTGTCTCCATCGCCACACTCTGCTGCCATGTGCCACTTTCAGGTCTCTTCACACTGCTGGTGTGTTAAATTTTTTGACATAGGGTGCTGGCAGATTACGGGCCTCACATAGCTGCTGCCAGGCCCCTAATCTGCCATGGGCCCCTATATACCGCCTCCTCATGCTGCTGCCAAGTCCAGAGTCTCTCATGGGTCCCTGTACGGCCTCCCATTGCTGCTGTCTCCATCGCCACACTCTGCTGCCATGTGCCACTTTCAGGTCTCTTCACACTGCTGGTGTGTTAAATTTTTTGACATAGGGTGCTGGCAGATTACGGGCCTCACATAGCTGCTGCCAGGCCCCTAATCTGCCATGGGCCCCTATATACCGCCTCCTCATGCTGCTGCCAAGTCCAGAGTCTGTCATGGGTCCCTGTACGGCCTCCCATTGCTGCTGTCTCCATCGCCACACTCTGCTGCCATGTGCCACTTTCAGGTCTCTTCACACTGCTGGTGTGTTAAATTTTTTGACATAGGGTGCAGGCAGATTACGGGCCTCACATAGCTGCTGCCAGGCCCCTAATCTGCCATGGGCCCCTATATATACCTCCCTCATGCTGCTGCCAGGTCCAGAGTCTCTCATGGGTCCCTGTACGGCCTCCCATTGCTGCTGTCTCCATCGCCACACTCTGCTGCTGCCATGTGCCACTTTCAGGTCTCTTCACACTGCTGGTGTGTTAAATTTTTTGACATAGGGTGCAGGCAGATTACGGGCCTCACATAGCTGCCCCTGCCAGGCCCCTAATCTGCCATGGGCCCCTATATGGGTCCCTGTACGCCTCCTCATGCTGCTGCCAATCCACACTGTGCAGCCATGTGCCACTTTCAGGTCTCTTCACACTGGGTCCCTGTTAAATTTTTTGACATAGGCCATGGGCCCCTATTGCTGCTGTCTCCATCGGCCACACTCTCCATGCCACATCTGCTGCCATGTGCCACTTTCAGGTCTCTTCACACTGCTGGTGTGTTAAATTTTTTGACATAGGGTGCAGGCAGATTACGGGCCTCACATAGCTGCTGCCAGGCCCCTAATCTGCCATGGGCCCCTATATACCGCCTCCTCATGCTGCTGCCAAGTCCAGAGTCTCATGGGTCCCTGTACGGCCTCCCATTGCTGCTGTCTCCATCGCCACACTCTGCTGCCATGTGCCACTTTCAGGTCTCCTCACACTGCTGGTGTGGTGTGTTAAATTTTTTGACATAGGGTGCTGGCAGATTACGGGCCTCACATAGCTGCTGCCAGGCCCCTAATCTGCCATGGGCCCCTATATAACGCCTCCTCATGCTGCTGCCAAGTTCAGAGTCTGTCATGGGTCCCTGTACGGCCTCCCATTGCTGCTGTCTCCATCGCCACACTCTGCCATGTGTGCCACTTTCAGGTCTCCTCACACTGCTGGTGTGTTGAATTTTTTGACATAGGGTGCTGGCAGATTACGGGCCTCCTATAGCTGCTGCCAGGCCCCTAATCTGCCATAAGCCCCTATATACCGCCTCCTCATGCTGCTGCCAAGTCCAGAGTCTGTCATGGGTCCCTGTACGGCCTCCCATTGCTGCTGTCTCCATCGCCACACTCTGCCATGTGCCACTTTCAGGTCTCCTCACACACTGCTGGTGTGTTGAATTTTTGACATAGGGTGCTGGCAGATTACGGGCCTCCTATAGCTGCTGCCAGGCCCCTAATCTGCCGTAGGCCCCTATATACCGCCTCCTCATGCTGCTGCCAGGTCCAGAGTCTCTCATGGGTCCCTGTACGGCCTCCCATTGCTGCTGTCTCCATCGCCACACTCTGCCATGTGCCACTTTCAGGTCTCCTCACACTGCTGGTGTGTTCCATTTTTTGTCATAGGGTGCTGGCAGATTATGGGCCTCCCATAACTGCTGCCAGGCCCTAATCTGCCATGGGCCCCTATACCGACTCCTCATGCTGTGACGTTGCAACAAGGTGGAATTCAACCCTACATATGTTAGACCGCCTTTACGAACAGCAAAAGGCCATCACAGATTTCCTGATGTTAAAAGCAGATAAAGGTACTCCCTGTGTAACTTAGATGTCAGCCATTGGCAGCTCATGCGTGACACCTGCGCTTGCTCAGGCCCTTTGAGGAGGCCACGCTATTCGTGAGTCGGCAGGACTATGGGATGAACGACGTCATTCCTCTGTTGCACGTCCTGGAACAAATGCTGTTAACAATGGCTGGTCAGGGTGCGGTAGACGTGGCGCACAGATCTCAACGCCACATGGCCCCTGTGGGGGCAGGACTGGAAGAAGAGGAGGAGGTAGAGGAGGACATTGGTGCTCAGGAATTATTGAGTGAAATGGGTGGTTTTTCCACTCAGCGGACAGGAGTGGAGGAGCAGGAGCATCTGGTAGAGAGGAGGAGGAAGAGGAGACAGAGGACCTAGACGCACCGTGGCAGTATGCTGTGGAGATGGAGGGCAGGGAGTCCCTCGCATTCCTTGGCACAAATGGCCCATAGCATGCTCGGTTGCTTGCGTAGCGACAGCCGAATAATAACCATCAGACAGAGGGATGACTTTTGGCTGTCCACCTTGTTGGACCCTCGCTACCGTTCAAAAATGGTGGCCTTTTTCACACCTGCTGAGAGGGAGGCCAAAATAACGTACTATAAAAAACACCTATGTAGTCAGCTGGTCTCTGCCTGTCTGCGCCAACGTCCATCCTCAGACACTGTGGGCCCTGTGCGCTCGTGTTCCGCTGCCATGGCAGCAGGGGAGGGGTGGGGTGGTAGGAGCAGTGGCAGCTCCACCAGCAGCGGCTGCCTCAGTCTGCAGTCGATGATGAGTAGCTTTCTTCACCAGCGCAGTGAGGAAACTACTAACCAGCCACAGCAGCAGCAGCAGCATCAGGTGGACCTGGAGCAGGACCTCAAACAACAGGCTTAGGCCTACTTGGACAGCACCCTGCCAACCGAGGTAGACAATCCCCTTGACTACTGGGCAACGAAACTTGACCTTTGGCCCCAACTAGCTGAATTTGCCCTTGAAAGGCTGTCATGCCCGGCCAGTAGCGTGGCATCGGAGCGCGTGTTTAGTGCGGCAGGAGGTATTGCAACTCCGCGGAGGACACGACTGTCCACCCAAAGTGTGGAGAGACTCACGTTTGTGAAAATGAATCAGGCGTGGATTAGTCTGGATTTCAAACCACCAGTTCCTGACACAACTGACTAAATCCGCCATGAATCATGCCCCAAACATGTGCCACTTTCAGGTCTCCTCACACTGCTGGTGTGTTCCATTTTTTGTCATAGGGTGCTGGCAGATTACGGGCCTCCCATAGCTGCTGCCAGGCCCCTAATCTGCCATGGGCCCCTATACCGCCTCCTCATGCTGCTGCCAAGTCCAGAGTCTCTCATGGGTCCCTGTACGGCCTCCCATTGCTGCTGCCTCCATCGCCACACTCTGCCATGTGCCACTTTCAGGTCTCCTCACACTGCTGGTGTGTTCCATTTTTTGTCATAGGGTGCTGGCAGATTACGGGCCTCCCATAGCTGCTGCCAGGCCCCTAATCTGCCATGGGCCCCTATACCGCCTCCTCATGCTGCTGCCAGGTCCAGAGTCTCTCATGGGTCCCTGTACGGCCTCCCATTGCTGCTGTCTCCATCGCCACACTCTGCCATGTGCCACTTTCAGGTCTCCTCACACTGCTGGTGGGTTCCATTTTTTTGTCATAGGGTGCTGGCAGATTACGGGCCTCCCATAGCTGCTGCCAGGCCCGTAATCTGCCATGGGCCCCCGTACCGACTCCTCATGCTGCTGCCAGGCCCGTAATCTGTCATGGGCCACTGTTGTCGCTTGTTGGCATATTCCGCTCGTTCAGATGCTCCTTCTCCTGCTACTCCTCTTCACGGATTCCGTCAGCAGTCTTTCTTGGAATCCGTTTCCAAGAGACAACAGTTTGCGAGCACGCACCCGACGGTGCAGAAGCTGAACGTCCTCCTGTCCAAGTTGCTGCTGCCAGGCTCGTAATCTGTCATGCGCCCCTGTACCGCCTCCTCATGCTGCTGCCAGGTCCAGAGTGTGTCATGGGCCCCCGTACCGACTCCTCATGCTGCTGCCAGGCCCGTAATCTGTCATGGGCCCCTGTACCGCCTCCCCATGCTGCTGCCAGGTCCAGAGTGTGTCATGGGTCCCTGTACGGCCTCCCATTGCTGCTGCCAGGCCCGTAATCTGCCATGGGCCCCTGTACCGACTCCTCATGCTGCTGCCAGGCCCGTAATCTGTCATGGGCCCCTGTACCGCCTCCTCATGCTGCTGCCAGGTCCAGAGTGTGTCATGGGTCCCTGTACGGCCTCCCATTGCTGCTGTCTCTATCGCCACACTCTGCCATGTGCCACTTTCAGGTCTCCTCACACTGCTGGTGGTTTCCATTTTGTCATAGGGTGCTGTATGGCCTCCCATTGCTGCTGCCTCCACCGCCACACTGTGGCTCCACACTCTGGTTTTGGCCCCGTGACTGCCCAAATGAGTGAAGTGTGCGGTGATTCTAAGATCGACGGCACTCATCTGCATGTCATACTGACTGACAGTATTATTTCTCTTCCCCAGCAGACTCAAGGGCATTTAAATTAAAGGTACAGTGTTCTGCACTAATATTAAGTCTCTCTGAAGCCTAGAAACACCCTTTTTTAAGTTAAATTCACAGCGAATTTATTCGACTCGAATCGAATATTGTCCACGAATTCGCCGAATCAGTCGAATCGAATTTTTCATTTCTTCGCTCATCTCTAGTTAGCACTTCTGCCTGGCAGTACTAGGGTCATTGGTTCAAATCCCAGCCACGGAACCTCCTGCCTGGAGTTTGCATGTTCTCCCTGTGCCTGTGTGGGTTTCCTCCCACACTCCAAAGATATGCTGGTAGGTGAATTGCCTCCTGTCTAAATTGTCCTTAGCATGTGTATGTATGAATGTGAGTTAGGGACCTTAGATTGTACGCCCCTTGAGGGTTAGGGACTGATGTGAATGTACAATATATATGTAAAGCACTGAGTAAATTGACAGCGCTATATAAGTACCTGAAATAAATAAATAAATTGTTAGACATGCATTTCTTTTGAATTTGTTGTTGCTATTCTGTCTCTCAGTGTTACAATACACCTACCATTCAATTTTTAGACTGATCATTTCTTTGTGAGTGGGCAAACATTCAAAATCAGCAGGGGATCAAATGCTTATTTCCTTCACTGTGATTTCTTGATTCAACAGGTCTGGCAGTAATCAGGCCTGGGTGTGGCAAGTGAAATTGCCTAATAAAATAATTCCCTAATAAATGAACCCATCATTTAAAAGCTGCATTTTGTATTTATGCGAGTTATCTTTGTGTAATATTAACATTTCTTTGATGGTCTGAATCATTTAGGTGTGACAAATATGCAAAAAATATAAAAAATCAGGAAGAGGGCAAATACCTTTTCACAGCACTACACACCTCCTAGACACCACTGGACATGTCACTGTGCCTCCATCATATATGATTCCTTATGTTCATTATAGCCATTAGCCAATCTTAATCATATTTGTTCTCAGTTGCATATGGGGCTTGGAGTGGAAGCACGAGGGATATTGGATGAAATCACTGGCACATCTGACAAACTTTCACATTATACTTTCTTATATAAAACTTTATTGATTCAACCCCTGTTCACACCAATGCAATTTGTCATGCGATTTCAAAGTTCAAAGTAACATGACAAGTCACACCATATTTGTGCCTATGGAACCATTCAAAATCGGTGCAATTCCAACTTGCACCAATTTTGAAAAAGGTTCCTGCACTATTTTTGGCGATTTCATGTGCGACTTGAATTGACATCTGTGCATGAAGTCGTAGAGATGTCGGCCACACATGAAATATGAAATTGCACTGACCTGTGGCTTTGAAATAGCTGAAGTAGCGCAATTTTAAAGCTGCATTCGGTGTGAACCAGAGCTCAATGTACACTATATTCTGATTATGGTGGATTGCACGTTTGGCATACATAAGCTTATAGTGTTCATATATATATATATATATATATATATATATATATATATATATATATATATATACACACACACTATATTGCCAACAGTATTGGGACATCTCTCCAAATCATTGGATTCAGGTGTTCCAATCACCTCCATGGGCACAGGAGTATAAAATCAAGCACCTAGGCATTTATTTTTATTTATTTATTACAGGTACTTATATAGCGCCATCAATTTACACAGCACTTTACATACAGTATCTCACAGAAGTGAGTCCACCCCTCACATTTTTGTAAATATTTTATTATATCTTTTCATGTGACAACACTGAAGAAATGACACTTTGCTACAATGTAAAGTAGTGAGTGTACAACAAAAGTGAGTACACCCCTAAGTGAAAATGTCCAAATTGGGCTCAATTCGCCATTTTCCCTTTTTAGTGTCACAAGGTCTCAGGTGTGAATGGGGAGCAGGCGTGTTTAAATTTGGTGTTATAGCTCTCACTCTCTCATACTGGTCACTGAAAGTTCAACATGGCACCTCATGGCAAAGAACTCTCTGAGGATCTGAAAAAAAGAATTGTTGCTCTACATAAGGATGGCCTAGGCTATAAGAAGATTGCCAAGACCCTGAAACTGAGCTGCAGCATGGTGGCCAAGACCATACAGCAGTTTAACAGGACAGGTTCCACTCAAAACAGGCCTCGCCATGATTGACCAAAGAAGTTCAGTGCATGTGCTCAGCGTCATATCCAGAGGTTGTCTTTGGGAAATAGACGTATGAGTGCTGACAGCATTGCTGCAAAGGTTGAAAGGGGTGGGGGGGTTTGACTGTCAGTGCTCAGACCATACGCAGCACACTGCATCAAATTGGTCTGCATGGCTGTCGTCCCAGAAAGAAGCCTCTTCTAAAGATGATGCACAAGTCCGCAAACAGTTTGTTAAAGACAAGCAGACTAAGGACATGGACTACTGGAACCATGTCCTGTGGTCTGATGAGACCAAGATAAACTTATTTGGTTCAGATGGTGTGAAGCGTGTGTGGCAGCAACCAGGTGAGGAGTACAAAGACAAGTGTGTCTTGTCTATAGTCAAGCATGGTGGTGGGAATGTCATGGTCTGGGGCTGCATGAGTGCTGCCGGAACTGGGGAGCTACAGTTCATTGAGGGAACCATGAATGCCAACATGTATTGTGACGTACTGAAGGAGAGCATGATCCCCTCCCTTCGGAGACTGGGCTGCAGGGTAGTATTCCAACATAATAACGACCCAAAAGACACCTCCAAGATGACCACTGCTTTGCTAAAGAAGCTGAGGGTAAAGGTGATGGACTGGCTAAGCATGTCTCCAGACCTAAAACGTATTGAGCATCTGTGGGGCACCCTCAAATGGAAGGTGGAGGAGCGCAAGTTCTCATCCACCAGCTCTGTGATGTTGTCATGGTGGAGTGGAAGAGGACTACAGTGGCAACCTGTGAAGCTCTGGTGAACTCCATGCCCTGGATTTTTTTTTCTCATTTTGTCTCTCATAGTTGAGGTCTACCTATGATGCCAATTACAGGCCTTTCTCATCTTTTTAAGTGGGAGAACTTGCACAATTGGTGGCTGACTAAATACTTTTTTGCTCCACTGTATATATGTTATCCTCTGTGGTCATCTGGGTATGGGCACGAATTGTGGAATCATTTGGCACACAAACAGCATACAAGGCAACTCCAGACCTCTCTCACAGGACCCTCCCAGTATCCAGGAACAGCTCCTTAATACTCCATCACCGGATAATACAACTCAAAAACAGGGATGTCTCTACCTTTGGAGGCTCGTTATTAACAAGCCAGAAACAATAAAGTGCTGATAGTGTAGTATTTTAATTGAATAAGTAAGCAGAAAATAAAAATCAATATATCAGGTTTAATTTGAGGGGATGTACATCCAAATTGGAGGAAGGGTTTAGGAATTACAACTCTTAAGAGTAGCCACCCCCCTTATTTCAAGGGACCAAAAGTAATTGAACAGTTGAGTCAAAAGCTAATTCATGGCCAGGTGTGGGTTACTCCTTCGTTATTTCTTCATCAATTAAGCAGGTAAAAGGTCTGGAGTTGATTCTAAGTGTGGTATTTGCATTTGGAATCTATTGCTGTGAACCTACATCATGCGTTCAAAGGAGCTGCCATGCAAGTGAAACAGGTCATTGTAAGGCTTCAAAAATGAAACAAATCCATCAGAGAGATAGCAGCAACATTAGCAGTGGCCAACAAATAAACAGTTTGGTAAATGCAGAGATAAGAACGCACTGGTGAGCTCAGCAACATAAATAGGCATGGACGTCCACAGAAGACAACAGTGGTGGATGATCGCAGGATCCTCTCTATGGTAAAGGAAAACACATTCACAACATCCAGACAAATGAAGGACGCTTTCAAGGAGGTGGGTGTATCATTGTCATATTCTACAATCAAGAGAAGACTTCACGAGAGCAAATACAGAGGGTTCACCACAAGGTGCAAACTATTCATAAGCGTGAAGAATAGAAAAGCCAGATTAGACTTTGCCAAAAAACATCTTAAAAAGCTAGACCAGTTCTGGAAAAGCATTCTTTGGATGGATGAAACTAAAATTAATCTGTACCAGAATGATGGGAAGAAAAAAAAGTGTGGAGAAGGCTTGGAACGGCTCATGATCCAAAGCACACAATGTCATCTGTAAAACATGGTGGAGGCAGTGTGATGACATGGACATGCGTGGCTTCCAGTGGCACTGGGTCATTGGTGTTTATTGATGATGTGACAGAAGACAGAAGTAGCCGGATGAATTCTGCAGTGTTTAGAGATATCCTGTCAGCCCAGATTCAGCCAAATGCAGCAAAGTTGATTGGATGGTGCTTCACAGTGCAGATGGACAATGATCCAAAACACACTGCAAAAGCAGCCCAGGAGCTTTTGAAGGAAAAGAAGTGGAATATTCTGCAATGGCCGAGTCAATCACCTGATCTCAACCCAACTGAGCATGCATTTCACTTGCTGAAGGCAAAACTAAAGGCAGAAAGACCCACAAAGAACAACTGAAGACAGCTGCATTTAGAGCCTGGCAAAGCATCAGAAAGGAGGAAACCCAGTCTTTGGTAATGTCCATGGGTTCCAGACTTTAGGCAGTCATTGCCAGTAAAGGATTCTCAACAAAATATTACAAATTAACATTTTATTTATGATTATATTCATTTGTCCAATTACATTTGAACCCCTGATAATAGGGACTGTGTATAAAAATGGTTGCAGTTCCTAAAATTTGTACTTGATATTTATGTTCAACCCCTTAAATTAAAGCTAAAAATCTGCACTTCAAATTAATTTGGACTGTTTCGTTTTAATTTATTCTGGTGACATACAGAGGCAAAAGTATGAAAATTGTGCCTGTGTCCAAATATATATGGACCTAACTGTATATGATATCACAAGGAATTTCCAGCACATGAAAAGTTTTTTTTTAAATTTTGCACTTTTTATTTAGTTTATGTTCTTTGAGGCTTCACAATAAGTTTATGTAGCTGCACAGCACTATACAATATAAGGAAAAATTACAGCACAGATATTGTGCTTATTTGCCTGAGATGTCCATGAAATTTTATGATATTAAAATAAAACATCAGATGTAAAATATAGAAGCAAACAAACACTAATTAGCTACATAAAGTTGATGTACTAAAGGATTAGACTACATTAGCATTTTGTGTTAAAAGGATGGTTTGGGCAAAAAAAAAAAAAAAAAAAATGGGATATTTTTGTTACTCACCTTAAAATCTCTTTCTCTGAGTTCATTGACGGACACAGCCTCTTCTTTATCCATGATCAAACAGGGTTTATTGCCCCACCTACAGGAGTAGGACATTAGACAGAAAAAAGACTCACTCCTTCCTATTGGCAGTCCTCTCTGGGCATAAAACCCCCTCTCTGCTATAGGCTTCCAGTCTGTCACAAGCAGTTTCAAAGGAGAAACTCCATAGAGGGGTGGGTGCTGTGTCCGTCAATGAACTCAGAGAAAGGGAATTTAAGCTGAGTAACAAGAAAATCCCATTTTCCCTTACGTTCATTGATGGATACAGCCTATTCTTTATCCATGACCAAACAGGGATGTCCCCAAGCAGTGCCATAATGAGAGGTGGGCAAACCAACTAATGAAGAAAAAACCCCAAGGGAACATGCCAACACTCCAAACCACCCCATGGGGTGCCCAAGAATCCTATATAACCGCCCGCAAAATCTGCGGCCAAAGAGAGCACCAGAAGATGCCAACACATCAACTTCATAGAACTTAGGAAATGTGTACCCAGATGACTAGTTTGCCTCTTGCAAACTGGAGAAACAGATGGGGTACTCCCAGTGAAGTGAGCTGTTACAGGGAAGGGAGGTTTAATTCCCTTAATGGCATACGCCTGCACAATTGTCTGCCAAACCCAACAGAACACAGTGGAAGAAGAGGCTGCCAGGCCTGTCTTCAAACTGTCCGTGAACACGAGAGAATTGGATCTCCGAAAAAGCAGCCACCACAGAAGGGTACATACAAATCGCAAGAACCCTGTCCAGTGCAGGGCCACCACATTAGGGTGTGACGGCCAAGGACACAGGGAAAGAAGGACCATGTCCTTATTCAAGTGAAAATCCGGCCCCACCTTGAGAAAAAAAAGGGGAAGGTCGAAGCACCACCTTGTCCTTGTGTAAAATTATATAAGGCGGCAAACAGGACAAAGCTGCCAATTCCAACAGCCGCCATGCCGAAGTAATAGTTACTGGGAAGGCAACCTTCTGCAAGAGCGTAAGTAAGGGAATCAAATGAAAATGCCCTCAAAGGGAGGCTTCTGAAGAGTAGACAACACAAAAATCAAGCCCCCCCCGGTGGCAATGGGGAGCGCATGGGAGGCACCATATGATGAACCCCTTCAATGAAAATGCGGACCAAAGAATGTGTGGCCAAGGGATACTTAAAGAAAACCAGAGTAGAGACTTGACCCTTGATCGTTCTCAAGGCAAGTTGCTGATCCATGCCCTGATGCATGAAGGCCAACAACTGAGCAACCAAGAAAGAACAAGGAAGGAACCCCAAAGCTTTGCACCAAACGACTTAAGCACTCCAGGTATGGTGATAAATCTTCCAGGAGGAAGAGGGACAAACTTATAACAGAGTCGGAATCACTGAGCCAGACAATCCCCTATCCCTCAGAACCTGGCTGTCAATAGCCATGCCGTCCAAGCCAGTGAGGGTACAGCAGGAACAGGTACAGCAGGAACACTGGCCCCTGGGACACCAGGGAGCATCTGCCACTAGCTGCACCAGGCCAGACCGGAGCCACCAGAATGACCGGGATCCTCCATCTTGCACAACAGGCATAGTATGAGCCACAGGGGCGGAAAGGTAGAGATAAGATTGTACTGACTCCACGGTGCCACTAGTGCATCTGACATGCCCACCAGAGGATCCTATGATCCTATTGTGATCCTAGGAACCTTCCAGTTGAGGCGGGACACTAGAGGATCCATGCCCGGTGTGCCCCAGCAGATACAGAGCTGATGGAACATCTCCAGGTGTAGGGACCGCTTACCAGTTTTTGACACCCGGGATGTATACAGTGGACAGAACAGAAATGAATCTTTCCTCCCATTGCCAGATGAGAGATGCCTCCAGTGTTGCTGCTGCATGTCATATGCCTCCCTGATGAATGAACTGTCTGACTGGATCCTGATCGATAGACCCAGGGCCAGTGCTAGACTACTTTGTGCCCTAGGCAAGACCAGCTACCTGAGCCACCCCCCCCAAAAAAAAGAAAGAAAGTGATACATTTCTTATAATCTTCAAAAACAAGTGCCATAAGATGCCACCAGTACTGATATTAACCACCTCCCGCCCGCCATATAGTAATATGACAGGCGCAAGGCGGTTCTCTTGTTCTGGGAGGACGTCATATGACGTCCTCCCATTCTCACTGCGCATGCGCGGCGATCGGCGGTGCGCAGTGTCCCTCGGACACGGCGGATCACCGATCATGGAAAGAGCCGAAGATGACGGCTCGGTCATGTGATCAGCTGTGTCCAATCACAGCTGAGCACATGTAAACAGGGAAATGCCGGTTATCGGGATTTCTCTCCTCTTGAGCGGTTACGCTGACAGCTCGTGAGGAGAGGAGAGCCGGTAATCGGCTTTCCGCGGAGGGGACATGAACACTGATCATCAGGGCACTGATGATCAGTGTGCCCTGATGATCAGTGTAGCCCCAGCAGTGCCACCTGTCAGTGTTCATCAGTGCCTTATGTCAGTGCTCATCAGTGCCTCGTGCCAGTGCCCATCAGTGTTACATCAGTGCCACATATCAGTGCACATCAATGCCACATATCAGTGCCCATCTGAGCTGCCTTTCAGTGTCACCCATCAGTGCCAGTCAGTGCCACCTATCAATGCCAATCAGTGTCACCTATCAGTGCTACCAATCAGTGCCACCTATCAGTGCCTGTCAGTGCCGCCTAACAGTGCCTGTCAGTGCCGCCTAAAAGTGCCAGTCAGTGCCACCTATCAGTGCTGCCTATCAGTGCCATATATCAGTGCCATGTATCAGTGCTGCCTTTCAGTGCCAATCAGTGATGCCTGTCAATACACATCAGTGCCACCTACCAGTGCCTCCTCGTCAGTGCCCATCAGTGACACCTATCACTGTTCATCAGTGCAGCCTATCAGTACACCCTCATTAGCGCAGATCAGTGAAGGAGAAAAATCACTTATTTACAAAATTTTATAACAAAAACTAAGAAAAACTATTTTTTTTTCAAAATTTTCAGTGGTTTTTGGTTTGTTTAAAAAAATAAAGAACCCAGAGGTGATTAAATACCACCAAAATAAAGCTCTATCTGTCACAAAAAAATTATAAAAATTTCATATGGGTACAGTGTTGTTTGACCGCGCAATTGTCATTCAAAGTGCGACAGCGCTGAAAGCTGGAAATTGGCCTGGGCAGGAAGGGGGTATAAGTGCCCTGTAGGCTAGTGGTTAAAGTCAAAATTAGTGTCATGGTTGGACTGCATTTGGGGCTGGCAGTGGCAGGGTGACTGTTGCAGTCAGTGGAGGATGATGGATCCACACTCTGACAGATCCCAGGCTGGAATTCCCCTAGGCAATGGGGGAGATAAAATGTTGTGACAGCAAGCAGCCCAGCCCACACACCCACAGCCAGAGAACACCTGAACTGAGTGATCTTACACAGTTACAGATCCAACACAAAACACCACCACCAACACTGACAAGATCAGCAGGCCCAGCAGGCACTAGAGCAGGCTGTGAGATCGTGATAATGTCATCACTCACTGACACATTGCAATTGTGATGGATGGCCAGCTGGCCGGGTCACGCTCACACAGACACATCAGACTTAGACATTACCTTTCTCTGCAGGTGCAGCTCCACTGATGGATGGAAAGAAAAGGGTTGGAACTCCGCAGTGATCAGCAGCCGCCAGTTGGCTTACAGTAAGGGACTGAGTCTGAGAGGAACACTGGAAGGAACAGCAGTTCAGCTGCTACAATGGCCCCAGACACCCAGCATCTTCCTCTGTCCTTTCTTCCCCTCTGCCACCCCTCCCCTCAGTTGAAGGATAATCCATGACGTGGCAGTGTCCCACACAGAGAGAGTGCCGGCCTGTGCTGCGCCCAGGTGCCCCTAGGTGGAAGTGCGCCCTAGGTGGCTGCCTAGTTTGCCTAGTGGAAGCATCGGCCCTGGGTAGACCCTGTGTCAGCGACAACCTGATCTCCCAAAGCTCCAGAACAATAATGGACAGTCGGGCTTTCTCTGGAGTCCAGCGACCCTAAGCAGAGTCCGATCCCAGGACTCCTCCACAGCCCAACTGGCTGGCATCAGTCTTGACCATAGTTCAGTGAAGGAAAAGGAGGGGCTTTCTGTTCCAGAAGTCCAGAGACCACAACCACCAGAGAAAGGTGGCCCTAGTCTACCACTCTTGGAGAATCCAAAATGTCCAAGGAAACAGAAGACCAGTACCATTTGAATAGGATGTTCTTTTGCATGTTCTCGTGTGAAACTTGGTATTGGGAACTGCTTCAAAAGGAAGCTACCAGCAGGCCTAAAACCTGCATGCAAAAATGCAAGGAGGGCTGCCCACAAGGCAAGAGCCATCTGACAGTAGACCGGAGCTTCTCCACCGGGAGGAACACCTTGGACCACTCTGAATCGAGGATCAGCCCCAGATACTCAAAGCGCTTAGATGGGGTCAACACAGATTTCCTGAAGTTCAGAATCCACCCAAAATCCTGGGGGCATACATGATGATCTCCACACCATCCAACAGAGCGAGCCAGTCCCCGCACACAGGAGCATGTCGTCCAGGTAACCAAGGATAGCATTCCCTTGTTTTAGCAAGACCAGGCCAAGACTGAGGCTAGACCGAAGGGCTACACCACCAATTGCAAACATGCATCTCCAATAGCAGAACATAGGAAATGCTGATGTCCCTCTCAGACAGGAATGTGCAGGTAAGCATTTCTTATTCCTATGGAGGCCAGAAAATTCCCCCTGGTGAAGGGAGGGCCACCGTGGAGAGAATGGATTCCATCTGGAACATGTGGACCTGCACGAAGGCATTCAGGACCGTGAGATCCAGGATCCAGTGAACATCATCTATCTTAGGGATACAAGCCCTGGAACCGCTCTGACTTGGGCACCGAACAAGCACTCCTCGAAGGAGCGATCCTGTACAGCCCTGCACAGAGCTCAGAGATGGAAAAAAACCTGTCCTGCGGAAAGGAATGAAATTGTATTTTGAGCCAGAGAGAATGATTTTTATGTCAGTTCTGTCAGTAATGAGAGAAGTCCACAAACCAGTGAAGGCAACCCCCCACCCTGAATAGGGGTGGGGCAAGCCATCATGCAAAGGACTTATCCACGGGCCTAGAGGGCAAAATCCGATCTAAGTTGAGAACATCAGTCCTGCCATCCAACGTGGTTCCTTTCCCTTCTTGGTCTGAGGGAGGAAGGCACTCTTGCCACCCGTAAGATACTTGACAGCACAGCCCAAACAGCCAGTCTCCCGGAAGGGCAGGTCCGCTTGGGCATTTTAGGAAGTCTGGTCAGCAGACCAACCATTGAGCCAAAAGGACCCATTTCAGAACCACCACCAAGACTGAAAGTTTTGAAAGTAGTGGGGACACGGCATGGGACGCGTCACAAACATACTTCAGCCCCTGGGCCAACTATCTGCGAGATCCACATGTGTTAGAGGCATCTGGGTGAAAGTCAAGGCTTGTTGCAAAACTTTACCCTCATTAGCATTTAAAGCACCAGGGCCATAGCCAACACAGGTCTAGAGCACAAAGCCGGTGATGACAAACATTGACTGGGCTACCGCCTCTGCAGGGCCCACAAAAGGAGGGCAATTCCTCCACCTGGATCACTGTGGCCTTATTGAGCTGGGCAATAGGTGGGTCAACCACCAGCAGAGAAGTCCACTTCTTCATATGGCCTCCTCAAATGGGTAGTGTAGTGTGAAGTGCCTAGAGAGAACAAACAGGCGTTTGTAGACCCATGTCCTCTCCTGGACAATGACAGAGGCAGAAGACCCCCAGGGACTTTTTTTTTATTTTTTTTTGCTTGCCACCAGGTATATGCTGCAATCACTCTGTTAGCAGCGATGGAGGAGGGAATGTAGCAGTGCTGTCCTGCTGAGCAGTCTCCTGCATAGTACCGGCATAGTAACCGACCCTCCATGGCTTGAGTTGCCAGAGACCCTTAGGCAAAACATGGAGGGAGGGGACAAAACCATGCACCACCTTGAACAGACAGAGGAAGCAGGGATCGATCACACTTCAACCCGCACACATATCCCTATATACCCCCGGTTAGGTCACCAGCAACATGGTTGCCGCTGAGGCTATGCCAAGATGACCGCCAGCAGCCTCTGTACAAAGGAGTCGCCACTACAGTCTGGCAACAAGCGGGAGGTGGGACCACATGTAACAGTGTCCATTCATTTGCCCCACCTGCAGGAAGTGGCACTGAGCTCCCTGCATACGTGACAGCCAACGAGGGTGGGTGCCCATATCCAAGATGACGAGTGCCATAGCCCACCGCATAGGCCGCCTGAAGTTGCAGCCGCCCTGACCACATGGCACATCCCCCCACAGAAGGGCCCAGTGGGAACTTGCTGGCTGCCTGGTCCAAGATGGGGCATATTTGAGGCTGACCGAGTGCAGAGCTAGCAGTCTGCGCACATTGCTGATCAGACTAGGGTGACCACTGAATTTAGATTATCCAACCCGTCGCCCAGCTCAACTGTTGATGGAAGATCTCCGCAAGAGAAAATCAAAAATTCCACGAAAAAGAAAAAAGATGTTGAAGTACAAGTCCCATCATGAAAAATGCATCCACACTCCTGAAGACACCAGGAAAAATTAATAAAGAAGAAGAAGCTGTGTCTATCAATGAACGTAAGAGAAAATGGGATTTTCTTGTTACCATAAAATCCCTTTCTCGGATTCATTGATGGAGACAGCACCCACCCCTCTATGGAGTTTCTCCTTTGACACTGCTTGTGACTGAATAGAAACCTATAGCAGAGAAGGGGTTTTATGCCCAGAGAGGACTGCCCATAGGAGGGAATGAGTCTTATTTTCTAGGCCTAGTGTAAGGAAAAATGTCCTACTCCTGTAGGTGGGGCAATAAACTCTGTTTGGTAAAGGATAAAGAAGAAGAGGTTGTGTCCGTCAATGAACATAAGAGAAATATGTCTTCAAAGGAGAAGTGAACCCTAACTGAATGTCATTTTGCTTGGTAAAGCACTAGCATCATAAACAATTGCCATTTTTAAAATAAAATACTTGTGTTTGAACTTTATATTAAATTGCTGCATCTTGGTGCTGCTGATTTCCAGCAGCCTCCTTGCAGCACTTCATGTCTATACGTATTTCAGTGATGACTGCATGGAAGTTTTCAGGGTGGATTTCCTGATGTTCAAAACAGTGGACCATGCTTGTGTAATGTGTGTTGAAAAACCCATTTTGAAACCCATGTGACAGGGTGACAATGTGGGAGCATGGCTGGAAGACAGGGATTGAGCATTGTCACTCTATAACAGGAAGTTCATGAATAAGGACCTTAAATGTTTGAAAAGAATATAAAAAAAAATAACAAACATGTCATACTTACCTACTGTGCAGTGGTTTTGCCAGTGCAAAACCACTGCACAGTAGGTAAGTATGACATGTATGTTATTTTTTTTTTATATTCTTTTCAAACATTTAAGGAGTCGCCACTACAGTCTGGCAACAAGCGGGAGGTGGGACCACATGTAACACGGCGACGCCACATCCCACCCAGTGTCCATTCCTTTGCCCCACCTGCAGGAAGTGGCACCGAGCTCCCTGCATACGTGACAGCAAAGGAGGGTGGGTGCCCATATCCATGCTCCATATGCATATATATATATATATACATACATATATGTATATATACTGTATATATATCCATATGCATATATATATATATATATATATATATATATATATATATATATATATATATATACATATATGCATATGTCCACATGCAGCCCCATGCTCCCCTTCTCGGGTTCCCCACTGGCACTCCTGTCTAATTCTCCACAGAGTGCCCCCCATAGCTAGTCGCTTGCTATGGCGGCACTCGTCCGTGTTCCATAAGACACACAGAGTGCGGCTCAGACCCGCCATCTCC